AGGAACACAATTACCTATTTGGGAAACATTTTCCACATAGAAACCTCTGATGAGGTGGAAACCTTCCAGTATTATATCGATTTTGAAAAATTGGCTGTTTGCCAGATTGAGAATTTAGGGATACGGTCACATTTGCAGAATATACCCTTTCCATGGGAACACTTGAGATCTGTGATAAAGGGAATTCCTCCGCAGTGTTTTTCGTTTCATAAATGGCAATGTCATTTGAACGGCTAATCTTTGATTAATAGTAATCTTCTTATCCTCATTACTTTATCTTTATCATCTTATCAGTATGTACTTATAGGGAAGGGTGTGGTAGGGCAAAAGGGATTATCAAGGCATTCACAGAAAAAGCGAAGGAATTTTCCGAAAAGTGACGAAAATAATCAGGGCGTGGTGCTGCCATGATATCGAAGTGACCGTACTCCATGAATCCAAAACCAAACGAAAAAGCTATTTGGATTGGGAGGGGCATTTTGCACTCACACTTGTACTCTTCGCTGACTAACTGCAAACTAACAACTCATAGTTTGGTCAGGCCCGTAAACTCTTCTGAAGCTGCGAAATGGTATAATTGACCCTCTCCGTCATCACAAGGCTCGTATAGGGGTTGTTGAACACCATTTAGTGCCCCTACCAAACCGAACTGTGCTTAAAAGCTGACTACTGAAGAAGACTGACAAGTGCCTCCAAGAAAACACTTTCAAAATATATGTACTGTTCTCTTCCTAGGAAAAACAAAACAAATGCTTCCTGAAGAGACAGTAGTACTACCTGGTGGAATAAGTGGCGTTTCACCACATTCTGGTCGCACCCTCTGCCTTCATGTGGTGAATCAAGCGTTACCTGGTTGTGAGACATAAGGTCCATATCGCGGCGATATGCATACAGTCCTCATCATTGCGGACCGGTGGGGCGTGTCAGCCAGTAGGAGTGCGCACACTGTTGAAGCCGTTCTCAGCTTTTTTTGTTGAAACGCGTATGCGACAAAAAGTGGTAGAAAACGAGTAGTACGAGGGGATATAATAGTAAGACCGTGCGAGTAATACGAAGGATATAATACAGTAATGTCACTTGCCCGCTTCAACAACTGGTGCAGAACGACTTCATCACCGCGGAAGACGGAGCCGCACTGACACGCCCCACCGGTCCGCAATGATGAGGACTGCAATCTACTTAATATTTTCTAACTAATCGACTCGACTGGTGCAGTACTTCACTTTGATCATTAGGTCGACAGGCAATGCCGCTATCTGGCGTGCCTAGCTTCTAGCCACAAACATGGATGTACGTCTCACAGTGAACGTCTCTCGTCAGCGTCGTTGGGGGAAGAAAATGGTATTCTGCACATCTTACATGACGAAATCCTAGAGATGAGGTTAGGCGTGGCTGGCGTTTTTCATACTAAGCGTGCAGTCTACTAAGCTTTTGGATCGAATATTTTGACACAATTGTGGTTGTGTCTCTATCCAGTGCAAAACAAGATGACAGTCTTCTCAAACTGAAATATCCCACGAGTGACCCGCTCTGTGCCATGCTCTAATGCCACGCCTACTCCATCTCAGGGATTAGAGTATACATTACAACCATGTCAGAAAACGTCCCTGTCTCCAAGGCCCGGCTTCAGGAATTAGGGCCAGATTCAGGCCGACATGGGAATTTCTAAGAAGAAAGGTCTGGTGAAATGTTAGACACTAACCAAGGATTACTAGGTATGTAAAGTCCTGCTCTGTGGGATCAGCATCGAAGTGGAAATGTAGACGTCGCTTCTAGTTTGTCTGTCTTTCCAATGCCTGACAGGCGGGGTTAGCATGAGGAAGTCTATCAACTCTTAAGTCAGTGTTACGGTGCCTGCCGGTTTCAAAATATGATGAACAATTTTCGGGTATAAGTGAGGCCAAACATCTTTTGGAAGGGTGAATAGTGATTCAATTGCGAGCTCCCTCTAGAATTGAAAACTACCGTAGCCTCACCAATACTTGCACGGCCCTCCGCGTCCCCGACCGGGCACACTCAGCACTCTTTTTTATTCGCCTGGTTCAGAACTTTTTGAAATTTTTTAATTCAGAAGAGACACGGATAAAGGAATGTTGAATCAAACTATTGAAAAAATAAGTAATAACAAGACAGAATTGATTTAAATTAATTGAGAATAATTAAGAATTAAAATAATGATGGAAAAGTTACAAAAATTCATATGTCTACCTCGACTTGTAATGGAGCATGTCCATATCCAGAACATGTGAACCGAGCTTGTCCTCCTACTAACGTGCTTACGCTGGTAGCTGGATGTTCTATGATCCGTGCGCGAGGTGAATCATCCACTGAACCAACGTTAGTAAATTAAGTTATACCAAAAATTAAGAGTTCACCATAGCTCTCACGGATTTTCGACAGAAATATTAAACATTGGGAGATTAGGGCTCCTTCTAAGTACTCAGCCGAGTTTGTATGGACCACTTAAAGAGTTGAAATGTCTTCAGTAAGTCGGAGCACTTGGCTACCCATTTCAGAGCTTCGCAAGAGTTGTCAGATCTCAATAAGACCTGTTTTATTTTGTTGTGAACTAGCCAAAGGGAATAGCGGAAAAAAGGAAAGCGGTTTCCCCTCTCCCCACCAGCCACCCCCTCCCCACAATACAAACAGCGCCACGATTGGAATTAAAAATTCAATTTCCCTTGAGAAGACGTGCAGCTCTCCCAAGATTCGATCACTAAGCTGTTGAAGCCGGCAGCTAGTGAGCCTAATTCGTAGCTGCATTTTCTCCTCGCATTCTGAGGACGAGAGGCGAGAAGGATATTACAGACACTACAACTGATTGTCTCCGCCCATATGGTTAGCGTGGGCTGTGCCTTTAAGTCAAGCTATGAGTATTCATGAAGGCATCATGGTACAAGACTATAAACGACACTGACCATTAAATGGAGTACCATGAATACACAGAAGCAAGAAAGGAGAGACACTGCCCGTGGGGCACAGGGGTTCGCGCCACACAGGGAGGACATGGTACATGGGAGACCCGGTATGAGGTATCCCGGCGGTGGGGGAGCACGATAATGAGCAGTAGGACGAGTAGCCAAGTAGGGGCCAACCACTGTTTCCCTCTCTACTGCAGAGGATTTCAAAATCAGTATGCGATACAAATGAGAGAAAGAGGAAATTTACAGAAAATTCAGGAAAAGGACTGCTCTGTAGAACACAAGAAAGGGACGTTGCTGAACGAATGTATCAAAAATGAGCAAAACAAACTCGAAAATTAAGAAATGGAATTGATTGGAGATCATAAAAAGTGAGCAAAAATGAGATCATTCATCTCAAGTCCACCGACTCTTGGGTTCTTTTCTAACTATTACGGAAATCGGAATACGGAAACCGGCTTGTCAACTGCACTCACCGCATGTAAGATTGTTGGAGTCAATAGCGAACACATCGATACCACTGAGAGGAGTTGGATGTGCACAACGTGTGTGAACCGTACGACGTGAAAGCTTCGACGATACGAACCACGATGAGAACCAGGCCAAGTGACAGTCGCACAACAACGCCGAAGTATCAAGATACCTGAAACCAAACTTCAAAGCTGTGAGCTTGACCCACCTACACTGTGGGTTCATTAACTACAGTCTTGATCGCTGCAGATGGTGAGGCGCGTCAGTGAGGCTGAGTTTGGCGCACTTCCAGCTCGTTCCCCACCGGCTGTTGAAGCGGGTAAGCGAC